CCTCCCCGCCTCCCAGCCCCCGGAGGCCGCACAGAGCAGGGGCCCTCGTCCCTCTGCCTTCTCGCGCCACGCCGAAGGAGCCTGCAGCATCTCGCTGTCTCTGGGGGCTGTGGGGAAGTGGGAATCCCCTCGGGGGGGTACCGGGGCTGTGCAGCCCTCTCCCTCTGCCTCCGCAGGGGGCAGGAGGGTCAAGTGGGACCCGTGACCCAGGCAGGTCTTCTCCCCTTGCGTGAGCAAGTTAACTCAGATGCCCTGGCGCTGGTGCTGGGCCACACCCTGTTTGTCTCTCTCTCCCTCTCCTGTGTACACTTGGGCCTTTTGTGCCAGGCAGAGTGGGGAGGGGGCACAGAGCCCAGGGGGCTGGAGTTCACCCCACCGTCCCAGGCTGCCCCCCAGCGCGAGTTGTGCGTGGGGTCCCCGGGTGGCGCAGCCTCCTGGTGTCAGTCATACCCTCCAGCTCTGGCCCACGCTGCGCTCTCTGCCTGAGACCCTGCTCTGGGGCAGCCTCCCCATTCCCTTGTTGCATGCTCCAGGGTCTGTCCAGTTCAGGGGTGGCCCCCCACTCATGTGCAGAGAAGGAAGGGCAGGGGCACAGGGGGTGTCCCCGGAGGACGGGCCTGCTGGGAGTATGAAAGTTGGCAGGACTGGGGCAGGCAGGTGCAGATGGGCAGAGCCCAGGGGGTCCTGTGCTCCTGCAAGGGGCCCTCGGGCTCCCCGCTGTGCTCAGTCTCATCTGGGCCCCTCCCCCTGTGGCCACTGTTCAGGAAGCGGCCGCCTGGGCAGCAGTCTCTGTGCTGGGCGGAGGGAGGGTGGTGGCTGGCCGGGGCCTCGACCAGGAATGTGTGTCCAGGAATGTGGCTGCTCTGGGGTGGGGGGCAGGACCAGGGAGGGCTGAGGGGGGTCCTCGAATGCCTGCAGGGCAGAACGCAGCGGCTTCTACCTCTCCTTGGAGTGGGTTGGCGGGGTCTTCTCTGAGTCCCTGCCTGTGGCTACCCATTTTTGCCTAAGGCCCCCACCAGGGGAGGGAGCCCATGGGCGATGAGGTCACCCTTGTCTGTGGCTGCCCAGAGTCCTGGCCAAGGAATCCAGGGGGGAGGCTCTGGGGTTGGCACCACTTCAGTGGAAAATGTGAAGGTACAGCTCCGGCGCCTCTGAGGGCCAGTTGTTGGGGGGGGGGGGACAGCACCGGCCGCCATGCCACGTCACACCCCAGGGAGAGGGCATGTCTCAGGGTGCCCGGGTCCCGTCCCACCAGCCTCGAGGCCCATCCCTTTGCTCTCGCTGGTTCCCCCCCGCCCTTGCCTGTGACTCTTGGGGAGCTTGGAGGGAGGGGTGGGCATGGGGGGTGCCCGATGCTGACACGCTGGCTTGCTGCCCCAGGACATCCGGAACACGGTGGGCAATGTGCCCCTGGAGTGGTACGCTGACTTCCCCCACGTGGGCTATGATCTGGACGGCAGGCGCATCTACAAGCCCCTGCGGACCCGTGACGAGCTGGACCAGTTTCTGGACAAGATGGACAACCCTGATTACTGGTAAGCAGGCTCGGATGGGGCCAGTGGGGGCGGGGCGGGGGGGCTTCGAGCTTGCCTCTGATGGGCGGCCGGCCCCCCAGGCGCACGGTGCAGGACCGGATGACAGGGCATGATGTGCGGCTGACCGACGAGCAGGTGGCCCTGGTGCGGCGGCTGCAGCGGGGCCAGTTTGGGGACGGGAGCTTCGATCCGTACGAGGTAGGTGGCAGCAGCTCGCCCTGGGTGTGCGGCTCAGCTGCAGGGTCCTGGCCCTCACGTCTGCTTGTGCCCCCAGCCGGCTGTGGACTTCTTCAGCGGGGACCTGATGATCCACCCAGTGACCAACCGACCTGCCGACAAGCGCAGCTTCATCCCGTCCCTGGTGGAGAAGGAGAAGGTAGGTGCCATCTGCGTCCAGAGTTCGCTCCCGCGTCCCCACGCGCACTGACCTGCCCTGGCCTTGCAGGTCTCTCGCATGGTGCACGCCATCAAGATGGGCTGGATCCAGCCTCACCGGCCCCGGGACCGCACCCCTAGCTTCTACGACCTCTGGGCGCAGGAGGACCCTGACGCTGTGCTGGGCCGGCACAAGATGCACGTGCCCGCGCCCAAGCTGGCCCTGCCCGGCCACGCGGAGTCCTACAACCCGCCTCCCGAGTACCTGCCCAGTGAAGAGGAGGTGGGCCTTGCACTGCGGTGGGGTCTGGGCCCCCGTGGCTGGCCCCGCGCCCCAGCTCACCCCTGTCCCTGCAGCGTCTGGCGTGGCAGCAGCAGGAGCCGGGCGAGAGGAAGCTCAACTTCTTGCCGCACAAGTTCCCCAGCCTGCGGGCCGTGCCCGCGTACGGCCGCTTCATCCAGGAGCGTTTCGAGCGCTGCCTCGACCTCTATCTGTGCCCGCGGCAGCGCAAGATGAGGGTGTGTGTGTGGGGGGGGAGCAGTGCGCCGGGCGGGGGGGTTGCGCACAGGACATGGGGCGGGGTGACCTCGTGCTCACCTGTCCCAGGTGAATGTGGACCCTGAAGACCTCATCCCGAAACTGCCCCGGCCGCGGGACTTGCAGCCTTTCCCCACGTGCCAGGCCCTGGTAAGCAGGTGGGGGGAACCCCTCGTCGGGGGGGAGCCTCGGGGTGGGGGTCTGTCGCCTCAGTGCCTCTCCTCCGTAGGTCTACAGGGGCCACAGCGACCTTGTCCGTTGCCTTAGTGTCTCCCCGGATGGCCAGTGGCTGGCTTCAGGTGAGCCTGGGGTGGGGGCATTCCCAGCTTGGCTGGGGGGCTGCTGGGCCGGCGGGGCGCCCCGCAGCTGGAGAGGGCCTTGTTCGCTGCTTCCAGGCTCCGACGATGGCTCGGTGCGGCTCTGGGAGGTGGCCACTGCCCGCTGCATGAGGACCGTGCCCGTGGGGGGTGTGGTGAGGAGCGTTGCCTGGAACCCTCACCCCACCGTGGGCCTGGTGGCCGTGGCAGTGTAAGTGGGCAGCCCGGGGGGGCTGGGGGCCGCGGGCGCAGACCGGAGCCTGAGGGCCTGTGTGTCACTCGGCCCGCAGAGAGGACTCGGTGCTGCTGCTGAACCCGGCCCTGGGGGACCGGCTGGTGGTGAGCGGCACGGACCAGCTGCTGAGTGCCTTCGTCCCGCCCGAGGAGCCCGCGGTGCAGCCCGCCCGCTGGCTGGAGGCCTCGGAGGACGAGCGCCAGGCGGGCCTGAGGCTGCGCATCTGCCACGGGAAGGTGTGGGGTGGGGGGCCGCTGGGGGTGTGGGTTAGGATGGAGGGGCAGGGGAGGGCCCAGCTGAGCCAGTGTTGCTCCTGCAGCCGGTGACACAGGTGACCTGGCATGGACGTGGGGACTACCTGGCCGTGGTGCTGGCCGCCGCGGGCCACACGCAGGTGCTGATCCACCAGCTGAGCCGGCACCGCAGCCAGAGCCCCTTCCGCCGTAGCCACGGACAGGTGCAGCGCGTGGCCTTCCACCCCCTGCGGCCCTTCCTGCTGGTGGCTTCCCAGCGCAGCATCCGCCTTTACCACCTGCTGCGCCAGGAGCTCACCAAGAAGCTAAGACCAAACTGCAAGTGGGTGTCCAGCCTGGCGGTGCACCCCGCAGGTGAGGGCGGGCGGGGGCAGGGGAGCGTGCGCCCCGCAGGTGAGGGCGGGCGGGGGCAGGGGGGCAGGGGAGCGTGCGCCCCGCAGGTCCCCACCGCCCCGTCTGCCCCCAGGGGACAACGTCATCTGCGGCAGCTATGACAGCAAGCTCGTGTGGTTCGACCTGGACCTTTCCTGTGAGCCGTACAGGGTGCTGAGGTGAGTGGCGGGGGGGAGCGGCTGCCGGCGGGCCCTCCCCTGCCCTCCCCTGCCCTCACCCAGCCCCTGCCCTCCAGACACCACAAGAAGGCCCTCAGGGCCGTGGCCTTCCACACCCGGTACCCACTGTTCGCCTCCGGCTCCGACGACGGGAGCATCATCGTCTGCCACGGGATGGTGTACAAGTGAGTGCTGAGCCCTGTGTGCCCTGCCCAGCTGGGGTCCCGCCC